TATTGAAGGATGACGTCAAAAAACCTTGTTCAAATGGAGATGGACTCAATGGTGCAGCAGTTTAAAGACGAATTTACTGTTACCACTAACTTTATATGTGACGAACAGTCTTCCCTAAAGCAAGTGAAATTGAAAGTAAGAGTCATATAATAAAACACATAGAATCTGAAACACTTCGGTTTCAAAAGGAAATTAATGTTCTAACCAATCGATTAATATCTATTGAAAAAATATCCCGTATAAAGAATTAAGAAATTCAGTTAGTTCCAGAAAGTCGAACTGAAAATCCAATGCTTTTATTCCGCAACCTGTGTAAAATCGTAGATCTTCAAATAGACGATGAGAACATTCATTCTTGCCGTAGAATTGCCAAATACGACATCTCCTCCGATCGCCCTAGAAATATTATTGTAACCCTCATTAACCCACGCTTAAGGGATCAAGTTCTCTCCGGATGTTATCGTTATAATAAAGCCCACAAAGACAATCCCTTGAATACTAATGACATCGGATTACATTGTGAAAAGCGAAAAATTTATCTGACTGAACATCTTTCTCCGAAATGTAAGGCACTTCAAGCTGCAGCTAGAAAAATTGCAAAGGAAAAGAAATATAAATATGTATGGGTTAATTACGGTCGTATATATTCGTAAGGAAAACACTGCGACTTGCATACACATTAGAAATATGGAATGCTTAAATAAGCTGTCATAATATTATTATTAGTATCTTTTTTTTGCTATATTTGGTTTATGTATTTTGTAATTTTACTATTACATAATGTTGATTTACTATCAAAATGTTAATCTCTTTAGATCCAAAACAAAATAGTTCTACCTTAATGTACTTAATAATAATTACGACATTATCTGTCTAACTGAAGCAAACTTGAATAGCACTATTTTGACGGTGAACTCATTCACACTCGTTATAATGTTGTAAGGCGCAACAGATATCAATCTTATGTACGTAAACCCGAGGGCAAGGGAATCCTAATTGCCATTAGAAAAGAAATAAATTTTATCCTGTTTTTCCTGGAATAGTGAACTAGAAGACTTGTGGATCAGCATATTGCCAAATGCCACTAATGTTAAAATTATTAATATTTATCCATATTATTTTCCACCAGATCTGCCTTTAGACTGCATTGATAAATTTTATACAAAAGTGTCAAAACGTAATTATGCGTAACACAGAAGAATTTATTTGCATAGGTGATTTCAATATACCCGATGTTCACTGGTCTAGATCATCTCAATATAATTATACGATTCCTCTTCATCCGCGAGGTCAAAAAGCTAATCTCCTTTCTGATACCCTTAGAATATGTAATCTTGATAATTATAACAGTATATCAAATAGCAATGGACGATTTTTAGACCTAATTCTTTTCAGTTCGAACAGCATTCAGGTTTATGAAATGGAGTCATTGAGTGGAGCACCCCTCATTAGTTGCAGATGTAAATTTTGTTAAAATAAACTCAAATAATTTTAAGAACAAAAACCTAAAACGATCTAATTTTTTCAAAATAATTTTTCAAAAATAAATCTTGAATTAAAATCAGTTGAATGGCATAATATATTGTCAACTCAGGAAGATGTTGATAGCATGACTGACGCATTTTATATTATTACAAAACATACACCTATGACGAAAATTGACACAAACTACGAGTATTATCCAGGTGTGAACCTGCTTTGAGGCAAAGCTTAAAATAAAAACGAAAATATCATCGTCGTTTCAAAATATATAAGAATCCTCGGGATTGTGATACATTTTCCATGTTATGCAACAGATTTAAAAAAGTTATTAGTAATGACTATAAAAATTTTGTTGTGTCTGTCGAATCTTCTTTAGATGATGACATAAAATTCTTTTGGCATTTTGATAATGATAAGAAAAATAATTCTAATAGCATTCTCAAAACGATAAAATATGATAATCACATCTCTTCCGATGAAAAAGAAATATGTTAGCTTTTCTCTAGTTATTTCAGTTCCGTCTTTGTAAATCCAGTGGAGCCTAGTTTATATTCTCCTAATGAATTATCCAATCGTAGTAATTATATATTAAGTGATATCGTAATCACACAAGAAGAATTACAGCAAAAGATTTCGAAATTACACCAAAGAAAAGTCCCTAGACCAGATGGTCCTTTATTAATTAAGAAATGTGGTAAGGAATTAAGTAATCCCTTGTGTATGCTATTCAATGCATCTATTAAGGTGTTTTTCCTTCAGTATGGCAAATAGCTCATATCGTTCCGATTCATAAATCAGGCGACAGGTCTAGTTGCGAAAGTTATCGATCCATTAGCTTCTTGTCTTGCCTCGGTAAATTGTTTGATTAATTGGTGTATGATTCTCTTTACCACCATATTCAACCCTTTATATCGCTTAGACAAGATGGTTTTATTAAAATAGACCGACATCTTCTAATTTACTTGAATACAAACACTATATTTGCAGTGCTTTTGCCAAGAGAAAACAGGTTGATAGTATATATACCGATTTCTCGAAAGCATTTGATAAAGTAAATCATAATATTTTATGTATCAAATTAGCATGTTACGGAATACATGGGAATCTGTTGAGATGGACTGAATAATACCTCAACAAGAGGAGTCAGTTAGTTACTATAAAAGGTTTCATATCCTCACCCGCTGCTGTGACATCGGGTGTGCCACAAGGGTCACATTTAGGTCCTTTATTTTTTATAATATTTATTAACAATCTTATTGATAAATTAACATGGTCATGCCTGTTCTATGCAAATGATTTTAAGCTCTTTTCTGTTATCCATACACTCAGCGATTCGTTAAATCTTCAGTCGAATTTAGATTCCATTCATAATTGGTGTAAAGAAAACTACATGCATCTGAACACGAGAAAATGCTTTGTCTTATCATTTAGCAATAAGAAACACATGCTCACTTTTGATTACAAAATAAATGGACAGGTATTTGATAGAAAATCCGTAGTTAAGGATCTTGGAATACTGTTTGATGAAAAGTTTACGTTCCGCGATCATTACGATCATGTGGAATCTAAAAGTACAAAACTTCTTGGTATTATATTCAGAACTGCCAAGACTTAAAAATCCGCGAAGCTTTCTCATTTTGTACTGTTCTCTAGTACGCAGTATTTTAGAGTACAACATAATTATTTGGTTTCCATACTACGCTGTCTACATAACACTTAAAAAAGCTTTTGAACTATTGTGGACCCCATCCACATTGTAATTAGTTAATCAAACTATTCCATCATTTAGTTCCGCGATCATTACGATCATGTGGAATCTAAAAGTACAAAACTTCTTGGTTTATATTCAGAACTGCCAAGACTTAAAAATCCGCGAAGCTTTCTCATTTTGTACTGTTCTCTAGTACGCAGTATTTTAGAGTACAACATAATTATTTGGTTTCCATACTACGCTGTCTACATAACACTTAAAAAAGCTTTTGAACTATTGTGGACCCCATCCACATTGTAATTAGTCAATCAAACTATTCCATCATTTAGATATGGAAATCTTACAGTCTACTTAATTTTCAATTACTTACATAGGTTTTGATGCAAAAGTACCCAGTAACCCAACATATTCAACTAAAGACATTATGTCTTCGTATCTCTCCTGCCCGGGGTACAAATTGGAGCACTCCTTTGTGCCTCGGGCTGGAGTTAGCGTGTATGTCAGAGAGGACATCTGTTCTCGACACCTCGGTAGTCTTGAAGGTTCGGACCTGTCCATCCTTTGGCTACGCGTACACAGCGACGACCATCCGCGCGTCTACGGGTGCCTCTATAGGTCCCATAGCGGTAATGCCGAAACAGACCGACTCATTGACCACATCCAAATGGCTACAGATTCCTTGCTACAACAGGTCCCATCCGCAGAGATCGTGATCCTTGGCGATTTTAACGCCCACCACGCCGAATGGCTCGGTTCACGTTTAACCGATCATGCGGGGAGATCTGTTTATGACTTTGCCTTGGCATATGGTCTGACACAACTGGTTACATCGCCTACGTGGATTCCAGATGTTGAGGATCATACACCTTCCCTGTTGGACTTTCTGCTGACCTCTCATCCGGATGGATATCAGGTTTCCGTCGATGCCCCTCTTGGCTCTTCGGACCATTATCTGATCCGGAGTGTGGTGCCACTCACGCTCCCCTCGCGGTTGCGTTCTGCAGGTTGCCGCCGTGTTTGGCATTACAGGTCGGCGGATTGGGACGGAATGCGGTCTTTCTTTGCTTCCTACCCATGGGGGCGGGTTTGCTTCTCGCCGGATGATCCCAGCGCTGTTGCTGACTCTGTCACTGATGTGGTGCTACAGGGAATGGAACTATTTATTCCATCATCTGTGGTACCCATCGGAGGCAGATCTCAGCCTTGGTTTGGTCCACAGATTACCTCCTAATAGATTCCGCATACAGGGCCACAAACGCGCGCAACACATACTTGCTGTAGCTAGCATATGAAGTGACGCTAAGAATCATGACATCAGTGTTGACCAAGTTTGCGACCCGTAGGCGCGTAAGAGTTCTTGACAATTTAAAAATAGTTTTGTATCAAAAATACATTACAAATGGCTTCCTGTGCAGTAAAATGGTGTGGCAAGTCAGCTAAGACATCCAGTTATCAAAAAGATGGCATAACATTTCATCGGTAAGCAATTTCTATTCTTATCACGTTAACCTATTTCAAATGCACCAGAGATCAACTTATACTGGCAATTAATGGTGCAAAGTGATAAAAATTGAGCACCCGTTGATGTCTTTTTGAAATGTCCCTTTCACTCATTACGTAAATTACAGTAGTTGTCTTTGTCTAACAACAGCACGTGTATCGATAGTGTTGTGATTTTTAAGTCGATATTTTATGTTTGGTCACTGTTTAATTATTTTTTTGAAGTCATATTATTTTATAAAAATAGTGGCATATCATTCTGGTACCTATATGTTATAGGTTTCCTAAATGTCCCGAAAGGAAAAAGATGTGGATCGACGCAACTTGTCGAGGGGACGGATGGTTTCCTACCAAAAATAGTGTGCTATGCTCAAGACACTTCACAGAAGACAATCTTCATATTATGAAAAAACGTAGAAGGCTGTTGGATTCCGCTATACCATCTCTATACTTGCCAGTTTTGGTATGGACTTTTACATTTTTTAAAAAGATTAGTACCAATATAGATTATCCAATAAAAGCATTAAGTGGTTGAGTGAAACATGATATTCTAATATTAAGGTGAATGTTACATGTCGAAATCAAACTATTTTTAACGGATTTATAAATCATAAACATGTAAAAGTTATAATGTATTTATTGTTTTGACTTGGTATTCTTTTGTTACATGAACTTCAGTAATATCTTATTATTATTATAAAGTACATTTAAATTTAGAAGACGTGCCATATAGTGTATTAATTAATAATACTACTTCTAGGCACCCATCCCTACCATAGGTTCAAGTGCAGATATTGCAGCTAAAAATTCGGAAATTCCTGTGGCCGGCACATCTTTGAAAAAACGGTATGATTATAAAAATAATTAATATGATTATAATTTGTATGAATGAATAATAAACGTATTATAAGTACCTAAATAATTATTGGTAATATTTTAAAAGAAACGAATACGTATTTCAGATTACTCGTTCTCCGCTGAAAGACGCAAAAAACCCGCCAACACCTAAGAATCAGAGCCATTGCTTAGAAACGCCTACAAAACAAAAAAGAAAATTTGCTCCTACACCTGATACGCCATCTGCATTTGATACTCCAGTTAAAAAACATCTTTGTAGAAGAATCATCGAATTAACTAATGTAATGAACAAAAAAGATAAAAAAATCAAAAAGTTAAGTGATTCCAACAGAAGACTAAAAAGAAAAATAGTTTCTTTGAAGTCATTATTGTTAGAATTAGAAAACAAAAATTTATTAACAGCCGAAAACAATGACGCATTAAGTTCCTTAGGGGTCAAATGTAGTGAAATTATTCGTCGTCAAATAGTGAAAGGAAAATCAGGTAAAATTGTTAGGAGAAAATATTCACCACAGTTGAGAGCTTTTGAACTCACCTTAAATTTTTATTCAACTAAAGCTTATAATTATGTAAGCAAAACATTTAGTACTTGTTTACCCTCTGTAAAAACACTAGGAAAGTGGTACAGATCTATAGATGGCCGTCCAGGTTTCACGAAAGAAGCTTTTGATGCTCTGAAATTTAAGGCAACACAGACAAATCTGCCCATTCATTGCTGCATTGTTTTTGATGAAATGAAAATTGAGAGGAAAGTAGAAAAGACATATGGTTATGTAGATTACGGTGGAAGTGTGGATTCAGACTGTAGAGATGAAAGTACCGACGCGTTAGTTTTTCTAGTTGTTCCATTACACGGTAAATGGAAAGTTCCTATTGGGTATTTTTTTATTAATAAAGTGACAGCTGACCAAAAAAAAATTTTTGCTTACTCAAGCTATTGACTTATGCTTTGAAGCTGGATTGGTAGTCAAAGCTGTGACCTTTGATGGCTGTCCAGCCAATATAGCAATGGCCAAGAAACTGGGATGCAATTTAAATCCGAATAATTTGAAAACTGTTTTTAAAGCGCAAAATAATGAAATAGCTATCTTTCTCGATCCGGCTCACATGATAAAATTAGTTAGAAATAGTTTTGAACATTACAGGGAATTTATAGACGCTGAAGGCAATAATATAAAATGGAGTCATATTGAGATGTTACACCAGTTGCAAGAAAACGAGAAGTTTCACGCAGCTAACAAGCTACGATCTGAACATTTGTTTTTTAAAAAGAATATTATGAAAGTGAAACTTGCCACTCAATTGTTTAGCAGAAGTGTTTCAATAGCTCTCCAATTTTGTAAAAACACCTTGATGATAACCCAGTTTCAAGGAATAGATGGAACAGCTAATTTTTTGTTAATATTAAACGACTTATTTGATATCTTAGATTCGAAAGTGCATGGATATGGACTGAAAAGGGCATTAAATGCTGAAAACTCTGAGGTTATTTTATCAAAACTCGAAATGTGCAAAAGTGTGTTGATGAATTTGACAACTAATTTCAAAAATAGGCAGACGCGATTAATTGATACACCGAGATTTACCGGATTTTTAGGACTCTGTATATGTATTGAAAGTGCAAAATTTTTATTTAATGATCTGATAAAGAACCAGCGCTGTCCTTATATATCGTTTCACCGTATCAGCCAAGACCACATTGAACTATTTTTCTGCAATATGAGATCACATGGAGGGGCTAATAACAACCCAACGCCAAAACAGTTTTGTGGAATTTATAGAAAAATGCTTGTACACATGGAACTGCAAGAAATCAATACCGGTAATTGTATAACATTAGAACAAATTGCCATATTAAACTGTTCTTCAGCTATAAAACGTATAAATATGACGACTGAAAGGGGTGAAACTTGCGAGACTGAGGAATGCTTTGATGAAACTTTTATTGATTCCTTGCCGTTATCTCAGTTTTCCGAAAGCATAATAGAATATGTCGCTGGCGCTGTTGTACATTACTTAATAAAGAAAATCAAATGTAATAAGTGCGTTAAAGCTTTAATATCCCTGGATGAGAAAAAAAACAGTTTAATTTACGCAAGAGATGCAGGAGGACTACTGTTCCCGTCCAATATGGTCACTAAAATTTGCAGACGATCTGAACAAGTCATTCGAAGCTCAATCAATTCAAATCAAGGTTCTCAAATATATTACAAAGACAAATTCCGGTTTGTAACACAAACATTAACCAGTTTTGTTAATGAGGATATTTTTCCTGAAATAAAAAATCACCAATTCGATCACGAAAGTAGTAATCATGTCATTGACTTAGCTAAGAGTGTCATGGAAAAATACATAGACATAAGATTACTCTATTTATCCAGGAAGACAGATCCTAAGAATTCTGTGAGACAATTTTATACCAAGCTTATCCATTTTAAAAATCAGTGAAATATATGTCGGAGCGTCTACAAAATACCAGTTGAATCAAGTGAGCGAGCGGTTGCGTGACTCTAGCGGAACGTCATATCGATGGCAGCGAGGTAGAATTAAGGGTATATCAAGAAACATATATATTTAAATAAACATAAAAAATGTTAGCTCGTTCAACACATTCAAGAAACAATTGTATGAATATCTTGTTACAAATGACTGACTTAAATAATCGTGAATGCGTTGCGCGGGTGAAGTGTGTGTATTTTTGTTGAATTTAATTTGGTGAACGACTGTGAAATTTACTTTCAGCTATGTACTCATGTAAGTGACATGCATTTGTCTTAATGAGTAATAAATATCTTTAAACCTATTTATAAATTAAATGTACAAATATATGTATGCATTGTTTTATTATTAAATAAACTTCAAATAAAAATTGATTAATATATTTATTTATCCATCATCAATAATCAATAAATCCCAAATTTATCGATCAACGTCCCAACCCTGTTCCATCACTACGGTTTGGTACATTCTAAGTTTGACCTTTAAATATCCAATCACAGCGCATTTGACACGTCCCCCGCAACCCCAATTTTGGTGAACTCGAAACAGAACAAATATTCAATGATGCGGTATCTATTAGGAGGTAATCTGTGGTTTGGTCGCTCCTGTAAGACTGCTTTACGCAGTAAACAGGAGTGTTATCAAGCCTGGGCTGCGGCTTCGGCGACTCGGGATGTAAGCACCAGCATACTTAAAAAGAAGTATAACTTCGCCTCGAGGTCCTTCAAAAGAGTTATTGCCAAGGCAAAGTCAGAGTACATAGGCAGAATTGGCGAGAAACTAGGTCGCCTTCCTTCGGGAACCCGTGCATTCCGGTCTCTCGCCAAGGCTGTACAAGGGAATTTCTGTAAGCCATCACTACCATCTCTGCACAGGGAGGACTACTCACTGGCCCAAGACGCAAAAGAGAAGGCCGACCTTTTAGGCTCCCTTTTTGCGTCCAACTCGACTGTTGATGACGGGGGGAACACACCGCCGACCATCCCGCGGTGTGAGTGCTCCATGCCGGATGTGCGGTTCTCACAGCGCTCGGTTCGCAGAGCACTCCCCTCCCTTGACATCCACAAGTCGAGTGGGCCTGACGGAATCCCCCCAATTGTGCTGAGGACGTGTGCTCCGGAGTTGGCACCGGTTCTAACGCGTCTTTTCCGGTACTTCTACTCCCTAGGCATAGTCCCGAAATCATGGAAGACAGCTTTTGTCTACCCAATCCCTAAAAAAGGCGACCGCTCAGACCCGTCCAACTACAGGCCTATCGCCATCACCCCCTTGTTCTCCAAAATAATGGAATCCGTTATAAACTGCCACCTCATGCGGTACCTTGAAGATCACCAGCTGATTAGTGACCACCAGTACGGTTTTCGTCGGGGTCGATCAGCTGGTGATCTTCTGGTCTACTTAACTCATAGATGGGCGGAGGCAGTAGAGTCCAAGGGGGAGGCATTGGCCGTTAGTTTGGACATTGCGAAGGCCTTCGATCGGGTTTGGCACAAAGCGCTTCTTTTGAAGCCCCTTCCTATGGGCTTCCCGAGAAATTATGCAATTGGATCACCAGCTCTCTTGCAGACCGGAGCATCAATGTCGTTGTAGACGGTGCATGCTCCGACTACAAGCCTATTAACGCTGGTGTTCCACAAGGCTGCGTGCTATCACCAACGCTGTTTCTTCTGCATATCAATGATATGTTGCAAGCCGGTAGCATTCATTACTATGCGGATGACAGCACTGGTGATGCTCTATACACCGGCCGTGCCAATATTTCTCGGGAAAATGTCACCGAGTACCGGAACAAACTTGTGTCTGAAGTCGAGTCTTTGCTGGACAAAGTCTCGGATTGGGGGCGACTACATCTAGTCCAGTTTAATCCTCAGAAGATACAAGTTTGCGCGTTTACCGCTAAAAAGAACCCCTTTGTCGTATCTCCTCAGTTTCAAGGTACTCCCCTTGTTGCCTCAGCCAGTATCGGAATCCTCGGCGTCGACATATCGAGTAACGTGCAGTGAAGAGAAGGCCAAATTGGCCTCTAAAACGCTTGGCGTGCTCAGTAGAGCGGGACAGTATTTCATGCCGGCTCAACGCCTGCAACTTTACAAGGCGCAGGTTCGACCTCACATGGAATACTGTTCCCATCTCTGGGCTGAGGCTCCCCAGTGCCAGCTCCTTCCACTTGACCGCATCCAGCTCAGAGCGGCACGAATCGTCGACGACCGAGTCCTTTCCGATCGCCTCGACTCATTGGCACTGCGAAGAGATGTTGCATCTCTTAGCATTTTCTTTCGCATTTACCATGGGGAGTGCTCTGAGGAATTGTTCGGATTAATCCCAGCCGCCAAATTTCACGAACGCACATCGTGGCAGAACTCCCGATACCATCCACACCATCTGGATGATTGGCGGTCCACCACTGTGCGATTTAGAAGATGTTTTCTTCCTCGCACAACTTCCTTGTGGAATAGTTTACCACCAGCGATTTTCCCGGACCGATACGACTTAGGGACCTTCAAGAAAAGA